ACTGCAGAGGGGAGGAGTAACCCAGTGTTAGGCTCAGGCCCTCCCCGTCTCTGCTGCTCTTCCTCATGAACTGAGCTCCGCTCTCCTCCGGGGGCTGCTTCCCTTCCATCCAGAGCACTTCCTTCAGCAGTTCTTCTGAACTAGTTCTAACGGCAAAGTTCTCTTACTTTTGTTTGATTGAAATATGCCTGTACTTTTACTTTCATTCCTGAGGGACACAGAATTCTGTGTTGACAGTATTTTCCTTTTAGCACTTGAAGAGTTTAAAATGTGTATTAAAAAGCAGAACTATCAGTTTCTAATTTCAGATCTTCTGTATCTTTGCAGATTTTTTATTCACTAGTTATTCCAATTATTGAAAGGGTAGTACTGAAGTCTTCAATTACAACTGTAGATTTGTGTATTTCTCTTTCAGTTGTTATTTTTATTTCACGTATTTTGAAACTCTGTAGTTAGGTGCACACACAACTAGGATTGTTATGTCTTCTTGGTGAATTGGCTCTTTGCTGACAAAGGTCCGTACAGTCAAAGCTATGGTTTTTCCAGAAGTCATGTATGGATGTGAGACTTGGACCATAAAGAAGGCTGAGCACCAAAGAATTGATTCTTTTGAACTGTGGTGCTGGAGAAGACTCTTGAGTCCCTTGAACAGCAAGGAGATCCAACTAGTCAGTCCTAAAGGAAATCAGTCCTGAATACTGATTCAATACTGATACAAACTCCAATACTTTGGCCACCTGATGCAAAGAACTGACTCATTGGAAAAGACTCTGATGTTGGGTAAGATTGAGGGCAGGAGGAGAAGGGGGTGACAGAGGGTGAGATGATTTGATGGCATCATTCACTCAGTGGACATGAGTTTAAGCAAGCTCCGGGACATAGTGAAGGACAAGGAAGCCTGGCGTGCTGCAGTCCATGGGGCCACAAAGAGTCAGACATGACTTAGAAACTGAACAACCTGAAGAATTTTATGCTGCTTCCTCCTTGTCCTCAAAGTTCCTGATAAAAAAACCCACTGTTATTCCAATTCCTTTTCCCTGCAGGTGATGTGCTATGCCAAGTTGCTTCAGTTGTGTCCAACTTTTGACATCTGGTCCCACCACTCCATGGCAAATTGATGGGTAAACAATGGAAACAGTGACAGACTTGATTTTCTTGGGCTCCAAGATCACTGCAGATGGTGACTGCAGCCATGAAATTAAAAGATGCTTGCTCCTTGGAACAAAATCTATGACAAACCCAGACAACTTATTAAAAAGCAGAGATATTACTTTGCTGACAAAGGTCCATATAATCAAAGCTATAGTTTCTCCAGTGGTCATGTACAGATATGAGAGTTGGACCATAAAGAAAGCTGAGCACAGAAGAATTGATGCTTTTGAACTGTGGTGTTGGAGAATACTCTTGAGAGTCCCTTGGATTGCAATGAGATCAAACAAGTCCATCCTAAAGGAAATCAACCCTAAATATTCATTGGAAGGACTGATGTTGAAGCTGAAACTCCAATACTTCGCCACCTAATGCGAAGAACTGACTCATTTGAGAAGACCCTGATGCTGGGAAAGATTGAAGGCAGGAGAAGAAGGGGATGACAGAGGATGAGATGGTTGGATGGCATCACTGACTCGATGGACATGGGTTTGAGTAAACTCCAGGAGTTGTGATGGACAGGGAGGTGTGGCATGCTGCAGTCCATGGGGTCACAAAGAGTCAGACACGACTGAGCAACTGAATTGAACTGAACTTGCTAAGATCATTCAAAATTAAGAATATAAAATTACTAAAGGGCCTTAGAAGAGCCTGTGCAATAAGAGGCTGGGAAGTTTAAACTTCACTGGCTTCATGATAAATCTGCTTTGTTAGGCTTTGAATATCTCAAATGCTTGGCTCTACCCCAAAACTGCTAAGCCAGCTTTGGGGTGTATGGTCACCGGTCTCGTGTGTTGCTTTAAACATTTTCTGGCTGGTTCTGATGCACATGTAGGAACAAGAACCTCAGATGTGAAGCAAGCAGGATCCACCCCACTTGGAATATGGCACCTAGGAACACAGTCCTCTAAATGCAGACTTCCAGCTGAAACAAATGTAGGTATATGTGTGTGTGCAAGACCCAAAAACACTCAGACATGCACATTCTGGCTGCACAGGGGCTGCAGTGATGCAGAGATGGGCAGAGACAACATTCTCTTGGGTCAGAATCTTAGCGGTCTCGAAGGTGGAACTCAGTCCTGAGCTGATAAGGCTCTGGGGGCCAGTCCCAGCCAGAGGTCCTGGGTGCCCACCCTTCTGGGGAACTGGCGGTAGAGGCACCCTGCCAGAAGGAGAGCCCAGGTCGACTCAGCACGTAAACATGTGATTGGAAAATAGTGGATTAACAATTTTGCCTCTAACTAATTTTATGACCTCAGGTAAATCAGTGTATCACCCTGAACCTCAGTTTCCATACATGTGAACTTGGAATAATAAAAATATTTTGCCTCTGGGTTTGTTCCAGGATAAAAGAAAATTGCGGACCTGAGGATCTAAAAATCACTATTTGGATGCAAACAAGGAAAGATTCTAAATGATGCTTTTTTCAACTATTGCCTGGAATTTTTATAATCTTGAAGTGAAAAAGGTCTTTCTTAGCATACCAACTGAGAATTCACAAATGAAAAGATGACAGATCTGTTGACAGTGACCTTTGTTGAAAGAGAAAGAATAAAAAAGGGAAGCTATTCACTGTTTGCAACTTAGATGGTGTGGTAGCCAACCTCAGGGATGGCCGCAAGGACCCACCGGATCTCCCCCGAGTAGCCCCTTCCCACACCTGAAGGGCTGGCCTAGGTAACGGGATGACACCAGAAAGGATACAGGGAGACTTCCAAGGCGCATCCTCCGTGTGCCCAGGAAATGCCTGGGGGACTCCGAGTCCACCCAACAGCAACTACACCCAAGCCTGAGGTCCGAGTCCCACCGCAGAGCCTGGAGGTCCTCCTGGTGGGGATGCCCAATGCAGCGGCCAGGGCACCTCTGCCGCAGGTGGTCACCTCTGCGGGTAGAGGCCAGGCTGGGCAGGGCCGCGGGGAGCGAGTCCAGCCTGGAGGGCTTGGACCCTTGGACAGAGATCCGTCCTCTTGAGGCAATGCTGAGGCCTCAAGTCCCAGGGGCCCCTCCCACCCGCTGCTCAGACCCCTTGGGGCTCTGGCCGCCCCTCTCACCTGTGCGGGCGGGGGGGCCTCTCCATTCCTGCCCACCTGCTTCTAGCTTCACACCGAGCCCGGGCCCCTGCCACCCCAGATCGGACCTGACAAGGCTAGACGAGGCTCCTCTGCTCCTGGAGGCCATATGAGGTGGACACTCTGGCTTCACACCCAGGGCAGGAGCCCAAGGCTCTAGAGATCACAAGAGGGCAAGCCTCAGCGGGAGAGAAGGCAGTGCCGCAAGCCCCCCGGTGAGGTGTTCCAGGGCTTGTAGACAGAGGAGGGGCCGGGGAGGCACAGGGGGTGGGGGGCGGGGGGGCCACTGCCCCTGGGGAGCTGCGATAAGAGGCTGCTGGCCCCCTCTCCTCCAGAGGCTTGAGGTCAGACCCGAGCCCCTGACCCATGGCGTCTGAGTCCCCCGCGGGTCTCCATGCTGGACTTGGAGGAAGATGGACCAGAAAGCCTGCCTCCATCTCCCCATCCACCTCGCAAACTCATCTCTTTCAAGCTCCCGTGGAGGACCCCGCTCTGAACCCCACAAAGCCTTCTCTGGCAGGAGCCACGCGCCCCTCAGCCCCGCCTCCTGCTGTCTTTGGTGGGCTCCTGGCTCGCTGTGCTTTGACCCTGGAGGCCAGTAGCTCTGACCCCTCCAGCCTGCTTAGGCAGGACTGAGTATCCACCAGCACAGCCCATCCTTCGGGCTGCAAACTCCGCGAGGGCTGAGAGCGTGTCTGTCTCTTGTGGTTTTATCTCTGATGCTGTGCAGAACTCTTGACAAAGGAGGCTCTCAACATGCTCCTAAGTGAACTGACCGGCCCACTCAGCTGTCTTGTGTCTGTGACCCCCTGCACTCTGCCTGGGGAAGGGATGCCTGCGCCCCGAGCTGCATCAAGGTGCCTCCCCAGCCTGGACACCCAGGTTCGGTCCCCGACGAAGCACCCTGCCGCCTGGGGGTCTGAAGCACAGTGCTCCCCAGCCTGCTGTCAGAATCTAACTGTAGCGGGATTGTGGGGGACGCGCGTGCCCCCGACTGCTGCGCCGCCTGTGGGGCTCACCCAGCACCGTTGGGAGGATGTCAATTTCCTCCCTGCACGAGCAGCAGCGCTCACGCAGGCTCAGTGTTCACTGACTCAGGGGAGGGACGCGGGGACCCTGCTCCAGGTGGGACGCCCGCGGCCCCCTGCGGGGCCAAGTCCATGCTTCTGGATTCTGGGAAGCAAAGACTAAAGTCACGGTTGAAACTGGAGTTGCTTGTGGCTTACAACCAGCAGAAAGGCCACAGTCTCCCTCTTGTGTGGCCTTGGTTCCCACCTCTGTGGCCTGGAGCCTGTGACGGGGGCGCCCCTCACGCCCCAGGACTGTGTGCCTCAGGGGGGCCAGCCCAGCGTCCTAGGCCATTGCTCTGATGAATAGTCCTGCCCCATGGTCGCTTGTTGTGCCTGAAATTCCTCCCAACCCAAGCCTCCTGGCCCTGGATGAGGCTGACTTGGACCACACGTCCTCAACTGTCCAGTAGAGGTGCTAACTCGGTGCTCCCACGTGAGTGCACAAGCTCCATGTTTTTAATTCTCCTGAGATTTTTTGGACTGTTTTCTAGTTTTCTCAAATAATATTGCTAATATCCAGGACTGTGGGTGAGAAATCATAAGATAACAGGATAATAAATCCATCCTCCAGGGAGAAAGGGAACTTCAGGAAGACAAAGGACACCCCCAGGGCACTCTCACCCCAGGACACTTGATTCTAGATGATGGTTCTTGCTCCCTGTGACCTGACCGAACCTGCCTTTGAGGACAATAGGAAACTAGCAGGCCATAAAAATGCACAAGTTCAGCCCCAAGCCCTTCCTGCTCCTAAAAATACAGCCAATTCCTGCAGCAGCTATTTTGGACAACAAACTGCTTCCTCAACATGAAAAGGCCCCGTGGCCATAAACAGGATTTCAAACCCAGACTCCGTCAGACAGGGGTCAGGGCCCAGGTCCACTCTATCCCCTGGGAGCCGTGGTTTTCCGGGGCCAGGGGCGGGGGAGCAGCAGTATCTGTTTTTCTTAGTTGTATTTTGTTTTTAAATATAAACCAACTCAGAAAAGGTGGGGCTTGGAGAAGGATGTGGAGCAGGGCTAGGAGGACTTGGCAAGACTCTAGGATCTGAGCGCCTGTTTGGACGCATAGCTGCTCCATCAGCAAACTCCGTCAGCTTTGCCCTAGGAAGCTGGCCTGGTCTGTTCGATCCAGAAACCCTCTGACTTCAACACAAGGACTCGAGACCCCAAGCAGGTCAACATCATGGTACTCTTCCCAGGGGATTTCCCAAGACCTTCCTGTTTTTCCACAGACGTGACCCCTGATGAGAGGCTTGACTGAGCAAAGGTTGGTCCTGTTTCTCTTCACAGCGACATCCCTCTTTTGATGTTGCTCCAGGGCCCCTGGCTCCTGGTGGGCCTTCTCCTGGCTCCTGAGAGAGGCAGACACGGAGGGACGTGAGTCCATCCACAGGCAGCCCAGGCCGCCCACGTGGAGCAAGCTGAGGCAGGAGGTCACCCTCACTTCCCAGCTTCGCCGTGGGTCCTGCCCCCTGAAAAACTGGCTTCACTTTTCCGTTCCTTTCTCGCCATCAGCAGAGCAAAGCTGCGACCTCGGCCCCCAGGCCTCCTCATACACGCAGAGCGCTACAGCCACCTCCCCCCGGGAGCGGCAGTGTCTGCTCTCCTGTGCAGACCTGGGCCCCCTTCCGTCTCCACAACAAGCCCCGGCCTCCCCTCACGAGCCCTGCCCTCTCTTCCTCCAGGAAGCCTGGGCAGACATGGTTTACTCCAAGAACCCCTCTGGGTCCGCCTGCTTATGCCCAGCCCTGGGGTTGAGGAGTCCTGTCTGCTCAGAGAAACCTTAGATCAGGAGGCTGCAACTCCCCAGGGGTTTAGAGTGATTCATCAATGTCACTTTGCTGTGCTTAGCCCAAGGCAGTAACCTCCCCCACCCCCAAAGAGAAAGGTAACGTAGAAAGATGTCCATTAGAACTGTAATAAGAGTGACCCTTTAAAAAGAAAAAAAATTCTAAATGTCACACAGGAGTTTGGCAATGCCAATTATCATTGTAAAAATATTAGGACTCAAAACTGGGTTTTCCAGAGACAAAGCAAACAGGTAGGCCAATCTGAAAAACCTGAAATGAGGATAGTATTGGCCCTACACACTTGGCCAGGCGATCAAGATTTACATCACAGGTGGAAGCTCCCGTTAACTGGGTGTGATAAGAAGGGTGCTTCTCTGTGACTTTCTTCCCTAGAACTCATGACCCCAGTATAACCATGAGGAAAACATCAGACACATTTACAAACATTCTACAAAAACCCTCAAGCAGAACTCCTCAGAACTACCCAAGTCATTGGAAAAAATAGACTGAGGAGCTGCCTCAACTCAGAGTAGCTGAGGGAGCTGTGACTGTGCACCATGGCCCCTGGATGAGATTGGGAAAGGAAAAAAGGACTTGAAGGGGAAAAAGGTGAAATCCCAGTAAAGTCAGGAGTGGAGTTCATGTGCCAAGCAGTTTCCTTAGAGCTGACAAATGCATTCTGGTCATCGTCTAAGATGTTGAGAAAAGGAGGCTGAGGGAAGGGTGTAGGAAACCTTATACTATCTTTGCAACTGTTCTGTAAATCTAAAATTATTCCAAAATGACTATTATTTTAGTGGTGTTGGCCTTATCAAGAGCAATACTAGATACCTAAGATAATACCAAAAACTTATGTGAATGAATCATTTCCACCAAGAACTTCATGCCAAGCTATGGTTTTTCCAGTAGTTATGTACAAATATGAGATTCAGACCATAAAGAAGGCTGCGCGCCAAAGAATTGATGCTTTTGAACTATGGTGTTGGAGAAGACTCTTGAGAGTCCTTTGAACAACAAGGAGATCAAACCAGTCAATCCTAAAGGAAATCAACCCTGAATATTCATTGGAAGAAATGATGCTGAAGCTGAAACTCCAATACTTTGGCACCTGATGGGAAGAACTGACTCATTGGAAAAGACCCTAATGCTGGGAAATGTTGAAGGTGGGAGGAGAAGGGGACGACAGAGGATGAGATGGTTGGATGGCATCACCGACTCAATGGACATGAATTTGAACTCCTGGAGAAAGAAATGGCAACCCACCACAATATTCTTGTCTGGGAAATCCCATGGACAGAAGCCTAGTGGGCTATAGTCCATGGGGTCATGAAGAACTGGACACGACTAAAGCGGCTGGGCACAGCTGAGCACGGCACATCCTACCACAGAGACCGGTTTCATGAGTTGATTTTAAAGTAGTGGCCCTTGTTTATTTTTTATTTAAGGTGCATTTCATGCAGTAGAAAAAAATTCCCGAATCCCTGACCATAAACCTGGCCACCTAAGTAGTCTCCTCTTCTGCACCCAAAATGCCACCCTACCCCGCCCCTTCCTGCGGCACCGGGACGGGCCTTCCCCGTAGGACCGGTCCCGGCGGGCATTCCCGGCAGGGCCTGTCGCTGCTGCAGCCGCACTCCCCGTTCCTGAACAAGCTCAGCTGCTGGAAAACACGCGGGCTTCTGTCCGCGTGCTGAGGATGGCCACACAGGACAAGCCCTGTCCCGGGTCTGCCTTTCCCTTCAGCCCCCGCGGCTGCCCCAGCTCGTCTTTTCCGCAGAGCCCTGGCAGGAGTGGGCCACTGTGTCCCCGTCCTGCCTGTCCCCTGCTCTGTTTCGAATCAGCTCTCCTCAGGCGTCAGCCCTTGGCTCCCCTGGGTAAGCCTCAGGCCTGACCCTTGTCCCGACACCTGCAGTCGGCGCTCAGTCACGGGCCTGCAGCTCTGGCCCCCAGCCACGTGACCTCAGCTCCGGGCCCTGCCCCCCATCCTCCTCCCCAGACTGTCTCCCTTCACCCTCAGCACCCCAACCCTGCATCTCGTCCACTGAGGAGCCCATATTTCGAGTAGAGCTCAGGCCCTCCCCACCCAGACCGGACCCTCCCGGGCACCTGTGTGTTCACACTGAGCTTGCCACTCACTGCTCCCAGCCCCCTTCCGAGGGGTGCTGACCACACCTCCCCTCTGCATCACCCACACCTTCCCAAACCCCCACACCCGCCCTTGGCCTCCAGGACATGTCCACTTGTCCACTTTCTGTCTTCCCTCTGGGATGCCAGCCCCGGGTGCATTCAAAACATTTTCAGCTTCATTCATGGTATGTCCCCAGTGCTGGGGAGTAACACCTGGAGAGAGACCACCCAGCGAGGGCCCATAAGCACCCAGCCAGGGTCCAGTGAACACCCAGTGAGGGACTATGAGCACCCAGTGAGGGCCCATGAGCATCCAGCCAGGGCCCAGTGAGCACCTAGTGAGGGCCCATGAGCACCCAGCTAGGGTCCAGTGAACACCCAGTGAGGGACTATGAGCACCCAGTGAGGGCCCAGTGAGCACCCAGCCAGGGCCCATGAGCACCCAGCTAGGGTCCAGTGAGCACCCAGAGAGGGTCCATGAGCACCCAACAAGGGCCCTTGAGCACCCATGGAGGGCCCATGAGCACCCAGCCAGGGTCCAGTGAGCACCCAGTGAGGGCCTACGAGCACCCAGCGAGGGCCCACGAGCACCCAGCCAGGGTCCACGAGCACCCAGCGAGGGCCCATGAGCACCCAGCGAGGGCCCATAAGCACCCAGTGAGGGCCCATGAGCACCCAGCCAGGTCCCAGTGAGCACCCAGCGAGGGCCCAGTGAGCACCCAACGAGGGATCATGAGCACCCAGCCAAGGCCAAGTGAGGGCCCATGAGCAACCAGCCAGGATCCAGTGAGCACCCAGTGAGGGCCCATGAGCACCCAGCCAGGTCCCAAGGAGTGCTCATGTGAGGCAGGGGCGGAAGGGGAGAGAAAAGCCCTCTTTTTTCTCAGAAGTGTTTGAGGTCCCATGACCCCCCGCCTTATTATTGTAGGTCCTGTCATCTGTTTTCATTTTTCTTAGAATCCACATCCCTGTCATCTTGACAAAGGACTTCTAGGTACATTTTTCTCTCTCTTTTTGCAGTTACCGCACTCTGACAACACGCGTGAGAACACACGGGTCTCCTTGGGAAGGAGGAAGGGACACCGTGTCAGAACAGCGGGTCCTGTTTTCCTATTAAAGGCCCATCTTGCCTCTTCTGTCTTGGTGGTTTGGTCAGTCTGCCCCATGCTGACCGAAAGGGGAAGCCCTCTCAGAGATGGAGCCCATCTCCCTTCCCTTTTAGAAAGCAAAGTCATCTGCAGCTGCATGTGGCAGGGTCATGGTGTAATGGGGGGATTTGCTGCTTACCCACCAAAGCTTACCCACCACTCGGGGTGGGGAGTCCACCTCCATCCCCAAGCTGCAGCGGCCATAACGAGCAGCAGAGGTGCCTCCTGGGAGTGGACCCCCACTGGTCAGCTCAGGCTGTGGGTCGGTGTGCCGTTCTTTGAGTAAAACAGCGGGGCTCATGAGAAGTGCCTAGAAGTCAGGTGTGTTGTTTAGGAAACAAACTATGGAAAGGGAAGCTCTCTGAGAACCACCGCCCCTCAACGCCCTGCCAAGGCTGGAGGGTCCCTGTGGCCTGGGCCCAGCAGGGCGGGAGTCTGTCTGGCAGCAGCAGCGGGTGGGGGCCCCTGCAGGTTTAGTGTGAAGGTTGGCTCCAGACTCCCAAGCTCCCGGCAGGATGATGGCGCCCTGCCAGATGCAGACTGGATGAGTCAGGTGTGGGCCCGAGAGGCATCTGGGTTTAACTTAGGGAGTGTGCAGTCAAGGCCACTCCCCTGGGACAGGGAGAGGACCCTGGTTGGGCGGGAGCGGGGGACACCTCGGTGGGAGCTGCTGGGACCCAGTGCAGAGCCCAGGTCCACCACTCCAGCCCCCACCAGGTTGGACTCTCTCCTGCAAATTCATACCCAATTGAGACCAAGCTTCTTAAAACTTCCTGTCCAGATATTCCCAAGTGCCTCAGTGTAAGTCAGAATATCTGGGTGTTTTTTAAACGTTAGCATCTTCCTCTGAGTATCAGGGTGCAGCTGAGACGCAGTGGGATTGTATCTAGCTACTCGCCTGCAGGAGGCCTTCCCTGGGCTTGTGTGAGAGGGCGGGCCAGGCCAGCAGCTGTTGGAAGAGAAGGAAGCGCTGCAATAAACACACCCAGATTCCAGAATGTTCCGTGACATCATCTGCACAATACTGGGTGTGCAGTGTTCAGCCGGCTCAGCTTGACCAGGGGCAGTGGGTGGGACAGTGACAGCACGGTCCTAGTGCTGAGAGGAGGGGCTCAGGTGACACCCCCTCTCCTGGGATTCACAGCGGAGCCAGGTGGAGCTGGGGGGCAGGGGCTCGCGTGGAGGTGGGGGACTGCCGGACCCGAGGGCACCTCACAGATGCGGACGCCACAGGCAGGTGTAAGAAGGGAGACGGATGGACACAAGAGCCCGGGTGGCACCAGCACCCCTCAGCGGGCACAGCCCCAAAGTCAGAAATGGACAGCTTGCCAAAATGCACCTCATGTCTGCCACTTGACAATTTGCTCCTGATCAGACTCAAATTGTAAAATTAGAAATTCCTGGATTCTTTTTTTTTTTTTTTTTTTGTAAAATTAGAAATTCCTGGATTCTTTTTTTTTTTTTTTATTGAGGTAGAGTTTAAAAGCTGGCTTAAAACTTACCATTTAAAAAACTAAGATCATGGCATCCGGTCCCACCGCTTCACGGAAATAGATGGGGAAACAATGGAAACAGTGGTCAGACTTAATTTTCTTGGGCTCCAAAATCACTTCAGATGGTAACTGCAGCCATGAACTTAAAAGACACTTATTTGCTCCTTGGAACAAAAGCTATGACCAACTGAGACAGGATATTAAAAAGCAGAGACATTACTTTGCTGACAAAGGTCCATCTTGTCAAAGCTATGGTTTTCCCAGTCGTCATGTATGAATGTGAGAATTGGACAACAGAGAAGGCTGAGCATCGAAGAATTGATACTTTTGAACTGTGGTGTTGGAGGAGACTCTTGAGAGTCCCTTGGACTGCAAGGAGATCCAACCAGTCAATTCTAAAGGAAATCAGTCCTAAATATTCATTGGAAGGACTGATGCTGAAGCTGAAATTCCAATAGTTTGGCCATCTGATTCGAAGAATTGACTCATTTGAAAAGACCCTGATGCTGGGAAAGATTGAAGGCGGGAGGAAAAGGTGGTGACAGAAGATGAGATGGTTGGATGGCGTCACTGACTCAATGGATGTGAGTTTCAACAAGCTCCAGGAGTTGGTGATGGACAGGGAGGCCTGGGGTGCTGCAGTCCATGGGGTCACAGAGAGTCAGACACGACTGAGTGACTGAACTGAACTAAGCAGTTTAGATGGTTCCCTTCTCTCTGTGTCATCCTCAGCTTCTGTTGTCTGTGGTCCTTTGATGATGACCATCCCGACAGGTGGGAGGTGATATCTCATTGTGTGATTTTTTTTTTTTTTGCATTTCCCTGATGATTAGCACCTGTTGGCCATCTGTATGCCTTCTTTGGGAAAATGTCTATTCAGGTCTTCTGCCCATTTTTTTAATAAGGTTATTTGTTTTTTGATATTGAGTTGTGGTATAAGCTATTTATATAATTTGCATATGATTCCTATTTGATTGTATCATATTAAAATATTTTTTCCCCATTCAGTATGTTGTCTTTTCATTTTGTGAGTGATTTTCTTTGTTGTACCAAACATTTTAAGTCTAATTAGGTCCCATTTGTTTATTTTTGCTTTTGTTTTCTTTACTTTTTAGGATTTTTTTTTTTTTAAAGAAGACAAACATTTGTATGAAGTGAAGTGAAAGTTGCTCAGTCATGTCTGACTCTTTGCAACCTCATGAACATCCATGGAATCCTCCAGGCCAGAATACTGGCATGGGTAGCCTTTCCCTTCTCCAGGGGATTGTCCCAACCCGGGGATCGAACCCAGGTCTCCAGCACTGCAGGTGGATTCTTTACCAGCTGAGCTACAAGGGAATCCCATATTTTTGTATATTTTTCTTAAAGCTATATGAGTGGTAAATTCCCCTGAGGAAGAGAGGGCTGTGAATATGGTAAGTGGATGTACAATCCAGCCTCGCGTGGACGTGGACAGCCTGGCAGCCTCTTAAAAGGTGGAAGCATGCAGGACTCATGAGGGCCCAGGAGAGAGCTATGTCTGCCTTTGATGATTGAGTTTGGGAGCTGGGAGCCCACGCACTTGAGGACTGGCCCAGAGACCAAGACGCCCAGCCCAGTGGCGGTGCAGATAAGCCAGCACTTCCCGGGCAACGCCTGGTACTTAGACACTCTGGAGAAGGAGCGCAGACAGGCATCTGCAAGAGGAACGCACGCGGTTCTGCCTGTCTTGGTTTCTGTGGCTCTTTGTCACTGGGTCAGAAGGACGCGGGCCTGCCTCCCCTCCAGCCCTGTGACCCTGCGGCTCCGTCAGCGCCTCTGGCCAGAAGGGCCAGCAAAACGCACTCGGGTGACCAGCCCTGCTTGCACCAGCCGCCCCCCACCAGTCCTGACCCTCAGCTCTGCTGAAACAGAAGTCGACTTTACCCCGCTCACCAGGGAGATCTGGGTAATCTTCATTTTCGAGGTGAGAATGGGGACTTTTCTCACTTATCTGAATTATTTACATGAAAACTTACTTTAAAAAGCTCGGCTGGTCTTCAGCTGGTCTCGTGCACTGGGCAAGTCTAGGTGCAGAAGAAGACCCTAGAGGCCAAGACCCCTCCCTTAGGAAACATGCCATGTGGACTGAGTCCTGGTCACTACGGTCCTTGGAGCCGGTGTCCAGCCCGTGTCTGCCCTCTGGTGCTATGATGGGCCTGAGGGTCTGTGTTTGGTTGGTTCCTCTGGCCAAACCTCTGGCAGATTGGCTGAAAGATGCCTGGCTGGAGTTTGGGTGTTGCCAGTGTGCTGGCCTGCAGCAAGGCAGCTGCGTATTTCCTAAAAGCTGTACTTTACACCTTCAGGCCCAGGGGGTCCCCTCTTTACAAAGTCCGTTCTCCTTCCAAGGCCGGCAGGCTATCTGGGCTTGGGCAGAGCCCATCCACTCAGTGGGTGCCCCCGGTACCTCTCCCTCACAGGTCCAGTGCAGCCAGTTCCTCCGTCCTTCTGGATGATGCGGTCGGTAGTCTGCGGGTGCCCGGCGAGCATCAGCCAGCTCTGGCGTGGCCCACAGGCCCCTGGTGAAACAGTCAGAAGACAGGGTGGGGCTCCAGGGACCCGACAGCCAGGGCGCAGCCATTCCCACGGGGTTTCCACCCACCTGTGCACCAGGCCCCATGCTCAGAGAGGTCACTTGTACAGGACCAGACTCAGGCTACTGTTCAGCACACTGCCCCCAGCCTGTCCGTGGCCCCTCCCCTGAGCCTGGAGACCGGCCCTCCGTCACCTCCTGCTCTGCCCTTCTCGGAGAGCTCCAACCTTGGCGGGCTGCACTCTGGCTGGCCCGGCGGGCGTTGGGCACCGACCCCACGGGTGACTTGCTCTTCTGTGTTTCTTTGTGACCTGCCGCACCATTAGGAAAAGAGGAGCTCAGCCTGAGGGCAGGATCCCTGAGGAGCCCTAATTACCCAGGATGAGTCAGCAGCTCTGCGCGGCGGGACGTGGGGCGGCGCCTGGCCACGGCCCAGGCTCAGGGCTCCAGCAAGAGCTGCCTCTGACCCGGGAGGCCCAAAGACCCCTTCCATCCATCTTACCTGAGTCCTTGGGAGCTGGAGGACAGAGGGAAGCGGGCTGAGAGATTTTCAAAAAAAGGCTCGTAATCCTGTCCCCTGAAGTCAGGCCTCTGGATGACCTCCACTGTGACCTTGAATGCCCTGGGATTGCCTGCCCTCAGGACAGCATCTGCAGAAGCTAAACCCCCAGCACTGGGATCTCCTTCCTCCCTTTCCTGCCGCAGGGTCCTCCATGGGTGGGAGTCCTACAGCCAAAACCAGAAAGAAGAAGGTCAAGGACACTGCCCAGGTGTGACACACAGGTGTGCCAGGAGCACTGCCAGAGGGCGCTCACACCCTCCGTAGGTCAAGGGCAGAGGAAAAGGGGCCAGTCCACGTCCCCAAGTCCTGAGGGCCCACTTCTCCCTCCTTGCCCCCCTGAACCCGCTTTCCTGTATCAGAGGGGATGCTGTGATCAACTCCCACCCCTGTTCCTTTGAGGCCCCACTAGCAGAAGACGCATGCCCCATCCCTGGGTCAGAAAGATCCCCTGGAGGAGTGCATGGCAGCCCACTCCAGTATTCTTGCCTGGAGAACCCCATGGACAGAGGAGCCTGGTGGGCTACAGTCCACGGGGGTTGCAAAGAGATGGGCGTGACTGAGTGACTAACAACAGCAAGTCTCCCCTTTCCTCCCAAAAGCCCGTGTGTGGGCATCTGAGCCCCTGAAGGCGCTAGCCGTGAGGGGCCTGCTGCTCTCTGTCTGTCTGTTTGGCCTTGCCTTGTTCCCCTCTCCGTTGTCCATCCTGTGCAGTCAGACTTTCTCCATCTCCTCTGACCCTGCGGCCATGCAAACAGGCCAGGCCTTTGAGGAGGAGGTGATGCTGCCCAAGGCTCCTAAGGTCTGGGGCTTGGTGCCCTGCGTGCGTTCTGGAACGCAGCCCACCCTGAGTGCGCGAGAAAGCGGGGGGGGGAGGGGTCCCCATGAGAGTGTGAGAGCCCCGGGCTCCCCCTCATGCCTGCCGGGTCCTCTGGGACCTCCAAGCCTGAGGTGTCTCTCCGCTGGGGAAGCAGGCCCCCTCCCCAGAACTCAGAGCCCACAGGCTCCAGTCCCACCTTCCTCCCAGCCCCGTGGGGAGCCCGGCTTCAGCCCCCAAGAGTGTGGACCGCAAGGCCCCACACACCTTGGCGGGGGCACCACAACTCTTCGGGTTTGTGTCCAATCCTGGGAATCAAGGAAACTGAACTGGCCAGTTGTTCATGCATCTCTCCATCACAGACGTCTTCACTTACTCACACAGGGTCACATCTGGAGCACAGAACAGGAAAGCAGTGGCGGGCTTCTCTCACCCTCTGGGGGGCGATGGGACAGGCGCCCCCACAGAACCCGGGCTGTGAACCTGTCTCTGTGTCCTGCCAGGACCTTCCAAAGAAGCCAGCTCCCCTCCAGAGGAGGCCTGCTGGCCCCGAGGGCCAGCTGACCTCATGCTCCCTCTACAAACGGGCGTGAGGACGCCTGAAACCGGGGGTGCCATGGAAACGGGACTTCTTTCCTGTCGGCTTGACTCCTGCGGTCAGCATGCCTCATCCTTCCAAGCTTCCCAAACCAGACTCATGGCTGGGCTTCTGCACCCAGAGACAAGCTGTGGGACCAGCAGGGAGGAGGGGCATGCTCAGTTCTGCAACTCGATTCGGGCCACGCTGAGACTGGACTTGCAGTCACGCGGGTGGCTGTTTCAGGAATGGAAGAGCTTGTGACCACAACCGCTCTGTTCAGACAGCAGATTCAGCAGGTGAGGGACTGGCTGGCAAACGTACTAAAATATGGGGTCCATTTCTAATCAAGATAAAGGAGCGGGGACACGATGCCTGGCCATTTAGGATGCAAAAGCCTATTCAGAGATGTAAATATGGGCTTCAGATGGAATCTTAAAGAATGAGAAATCAACTTACAGCCATGATGAAGCTAGGGCCAATTTCGTTCCACCTTCTGAGAACCTGAGTGTTTGTTTCAGAAGAATCTTCCCACCAATGTTGCTCCAGGAGCCCAGCCTTCCATCCATCCGCCCTGGTTAACAGTCATTGTTCTGAACCAGGGGGAGGCTGAGCCCCCAAGGGCCGAGGAGCCGTTCCAGGAGGCAGCAGAGGGTTCGCCTCCAAGGTCCTGAGCCGTGTGACCTTCCCCAGAGGTGAGGCCTAGTGCGGTGTGTGGTCAACCGCTGGGTTGGATGTGGGCGCCTCACCCACCTGGTGGGGTCTTGTCCCTTTAGCCGTGCCTGAGGACAAGCATAAAAAGAATTTCCCAAGGTCTTTTCTGCTCAGCCCTCCACCAGCACACCACCCTCGCACAGCCAAGCCCTGCTGAACTCTAGGGCGTGTGTCCCCTGAGAGAAGGTGCAGGGAGGGGGTCCCCTCAGTTTTTCAGGCCTTCCCCAGAGCCCATCAACAGGGGCCCCACCCTCTCCTGTGACATCAGAAGAGGGCTGAGTGAAGCCAAGAGGGCCTGATGCTGGGCCTGTGACAGGAGGGGCCTCTCTGGATTCAAGGGCCCCACAAGATCCTCACATCCAGGACAAGGAGAGGTAGCCTTCGTCCATGGCAGGAAAGGAGGGGTGCAGGGTGTGGACTTGAAAACAGAAGGTGGGAGAAGATGCCACGTGGATGGAGAGGAGGCCCTGATTCCTGCCACCTTGACTCTCAGGAGGGGTCTGGTCAGTCAGATTGAAATCAAGTCAGCTTATACATGGAAAGGATCAAGCGGTCAATAATTTGACTTAATTTTTCGAGTTATAAGTGAGTCAGGGCCTTGATCGTCTCTCTTTAAGCCATTGTCAGCCCTAACCACCCCTGTTTCTGCCCCTCCCCGTCTGCCAGTGACCACCTGGCCGGCTGGACCCCGGCCTCTGGAGCCCTGCTGCCCACCCACTGACCCTTCAGATTCACCCAACCTCTGACTCCTGCAGCAGGTATTCCCAGACGTGCTGGGCCCCAGAGCCCCGGAAGTGGAAGAAAGTTTAGGTGTGAGCCCCCCGACAGCTGTCGCACTTCCTGCTGCCCTGTCACAAGTCATTGTGCTGAGTAGCTCAGCGCTGCTGAGGCCAGAGGTCTGGGAAGGGCCTCCCTGGGCTGGAGATGAAGGTGTCGGCAGGGCTGGCCCTTGTGGAGTCTCCTGGGGAGAATCTGGGCTTTTTCCAGCGTACAGAGGCTCCTCCGTCTGCAAAGGTCCTCTGTACTGAGTCAGGATCCTGCTAGCCCCCACGCCACCACTGGGTGACAAGCTCCTCACCTCTGTCCTGCTCCCCCAGGGTTCCCAGGTCCATCAGCAGGTCTCGAGTGGCACTGAAGGAAACTTTTGCATCAAGACTCAAAGCAAAGCTCCACTGGCAGCCTTGTTGGGTGACCACAAACCTGGACCCTGTGCAGGCTCACCTGGCGTCCCCAGGTAGTCCTCCCAGAAGCCGCCCTCCTTCGCAGGCAGAGATGTGACTGACACCCGCCAGCCCCTCTGAGCAAGTGGAAGAAGCTAATTGCAGCTAGTGTTCAGGAGCTCCAGGGCCCAGGCTCCATGGCCCACCAAGGGCTGTGCCTCGAGCCCTCCTCCAGGGCTGCAGATGAATGCCCCTCGAGTCCATGTCCTGATGCCAGGAACCCAGGAATGTGGAATCCAGGGTGCTGGTCCAGTGACCCTGAAGTGGACAGTGTCCCAGACTATCCGGGGCCCCGGTGTGATCACAGGTGTAAGGCTCCACACAAAAGTAAGTGAGGGGCAGCCGAAGAGGTCAGTGCGGTGTGTGGGAAGGACTCGTTCTGACCTGCTGGCCTCAGAGATAGAGGGAGGGACCATGAGCTGAGGAAAGCGGCCAGATAAGTTGGAGACAGACCCACTGTGGAGATGAATTCCCCCTGGAGCCTCTAGAAAGTGGGCACACTGACCCGGGACGAGCAGCATGGAGCTTCTAAGCAAATTCGGGGAGGAGGGGCTTCCTGCTGACTGAGCTTATGAGACAGAGCAGAGTCTGCAGAAAGCGTGTTTACATTTTTTCAAATGTAAACTGGACTAATTGTCAGTAATGATAAAAATAACCTGCATTTGTAACTGGATTTAGCGTTTGCAACGCAGGCACATCAGCATGTATTAACCTCTGAAAATGTGGAGACTGCAGATGGGACTTGACTGGGCAAGGTCAAGGCACTCACTCAAGGTCACCTGGCTACGCTACAAGTGATGCTGCGAAGAGGCAGCACCGCTTCCAACACTGCCCAGTGCAGACAGACACTGGAAGACTCACCTTTGATGATAAAAGGCAAGGGCTGCTTTCAAAATTAAACTCACTTGCCATGTCTTAGCAACAAGAACAGTGAGATTACGAGTGATTTCCGAAACTGTTTTTCCAAAGCTTTACCTGAGTGAAAACCCCATAACAGAAGGCCTATCTGGGACTAGCCTCCAGAAATCCTTCTGGGGGAGGCAGTGTGCTAGCTAGGACATGAACCCCTGAAGCCTGTTCCCTCGCTCATCCTGCTCCGTCCCGCACATCCCACCGCAGGGCCCACGCACTGGACAGACCTCCACGCCGACGGGCTGGCTGCACTGCCCGCCTGGTCACCTGCTCTTTAATTGGGAAGCCCAGCGTCCAGGCCCGCGGCACTGCCCCACCGCCACGCCCCACCGCCCCAGTCCTTCATTAGTGCAGCCTCCTAATTGATTAAACGGATGATTGATTATCGGGCCTGAGCCATGTGTTCTCCAGACGCCCATTTGCTTGGAATTGAAGGAGTGCGGCCACATCCATCACCGCTCGCTGCCCGCAGACACAGAGCCAGAGCTGCCGTGGGCCGCCGCTGTAATTGCTGCCAGGCCCCCCTGAAGCAGGTGCATATGCACCATCAGTTCTGCTGTCTTGATGTGTGCGTCCTGCCAGCAGGCCACTGTGAGATGCTGCTGAAGCAGGGCATAGTGTCCCAGCCCCCACAGCCAGCCACACTGGGGTGGGAACACAGTCCCAAGATGGGAACTCGGCCCGGATATGGGAACTCGGTCCCGTGATAGGAGCACTGTCCAGAGATGGGAACTCGACCCAGAGATGGAAATTCGGTCCCGAGATGAGAACTGGGTCCCAAGATGAGAACTGGGTCCCAAGATGAGAACTCGGTCCCACCATGATGCCCAGTGATGTTCCATCAAAGAGCAGGTTGTGAGGAATTCAGGTGATGCCTGCTGTGAGTGGGCACATTCCCCCTGTCTGACGAGACAGTGATCCCAGATTGGTACCTGGAGTCAGAGACTCGGTTTCCTTCCTCCTGGACTTCCACCCTCAGGCAAGCCCTGAGGAGACAGCCCTCCTCACCACGCAGCCCTCCGAAGCCCAGGTATCACATCACCCCCATCTGGACACAAGAAAGTGGGGGAGAGGCGAGAGTCACTCTGCCAGTCTAGCCGCACGAGGCCCTTTGTCTCAGCAAGCTGGGAGACAGGCACAGCATCAAAGGGATGCAGGGCAGGCGCATGACGGTCACACACGGTCCTGGGACCCCAGGCCTGAGCTCCTTTCTGCAGGGGTGCATCCATGAACTGTCTTTCTAGGCTAAGCCATGAACCTCCATGACTTCTGTGCTTCTTTAAAGTGAAGGAGTAATTGGAAGGCAAGTATAAAGCTGTGTGACTGCAGAGTGCTGTGTGTCAGTGATTATCTCTTCAGTCTTCTGACAGTGACTGGTCTCACCCATGGCAAAATTGGGAGCAATGCTTATGCTACTCACCTTCACTCAGTCTTTCAGAATCATGAGCCTCCATTTTCATAAATCATCAGCTCCTTCTCTTCTCCATCAGCCTCCATGAATACGCATTCCAGTAAGTAATACTCATCAGGGCAACAAAACGGTCCCAGACAGGTTGATTAAAGACAAAAAGAGAAAAGGGCATCAGGGAGCCTGCACTGAGGGATGCTGTGATGATGGAGTCTCTGTGAGGGAGCCTGTGCTGAGGGAGTTTGCGCTGAGGGAGTCTGTCCATGAGGGAGCCTGTGCTGAGGGAGCCTCTGATGAAAGAGTCTGTGCTGAGGGAGCCTGTGTGAGGGAGCCTCTGATGAGGGAGCCTGTCCATGAGGGAGCCTGTGTGAGGGAGTCTCTGATGAGGGAGCCTGTGCTGAGGGAGTCTGTCCATCAGGGAGCCTGTGCTGAGGGAGTCTGTGTGAGGGAGTCTCTGATGAGGGAGCCTATGCTGAGGGAGTCTGTCCATGAGGGAGCCTGTGCTGAGGGAGTCTGTCCATGAGGGAGCCTGTGCTGAGGGAGCCTGTGATGAGGGAGTCTGTCCTGAGGGAGTCTGTGCTGAGCTGAGCGACAGATGGGGGTGTTCAGGGTGCCCCCCTACAGCAGGCTCTGTGGACTCAGCATACTCTCCTGGGGTCTTCTCTTCTGCCTCCTCCAGAAGCAGTTTTTGTGCATGGATTTTCTGGAAAGAAATCGAAGCTGGGGACGGTTCTGCTGGTCACCTTCCCAGTCTCACCACTGGAGTGGAGGAGGAGAGACTCACTGGTTAGTGCTGTCCTCTTCAAGGAGAGGACAGACTCCCGGGAGCAGGCGGCCGTCAGCCTGGCCGGGAGGGGCAGGCAGTCGCAGGTTGGGTCTCATTAGCCCCCCGTGGGGAGCCAAGCTACTGCCTCCTACTGCCTGACCCCTGCCTCCAGCTTATTCTTCCACAGATTAATTCCCCAAACTGACAGCTTTCAGTACCCGGTGTGCCCAGGGTCACTCAGTCACACTGGGTTCTGGTCAGTGTCAACCAGGGCTTTACCCAGAGCGGGGGTGCGGCGGGAGCAGAGGGTCCAGAAGCACAGCAGGCGTGAGCTCAGCCCAAGGGGCAGGGAAGACACGTTCAGGACTGATGGCCCAGTCCCGCAGCAATGTGAAGGCTCTGAGCTCAGCTGGACCGCTGAACACAGAGGAAGTCTCCCACGAGAAGAGGCTTCAGATGAGGGCGTTGTGCCTGGAACAGCAGCTCATGTGTGCATGTAACACATATTTTGCAGAAATATCTTTCATGTCCACGAGCCTATCATCTGATGTTCCCAAATCTTTGCGTCATTGTTGGTCTTCAGTGGACACACGTGGCCGAGTCACCACAAGCCCAGATGGGGTGAGGGTGCCGTTCACACCTCTTCATCAGCCCCACCTCCTGTTGGAGGCCCCGCACCGGGACACCAGGGCTAAGGTCAGAGGCTCCATTTCGGTACCAACAGTACCTCAGTTAAAGGCATTACACCAAGTAATTCTCTGCCCCAAGGGCTGGGAGAGGGTAAGGCCAGGAGACAGCACTCTGCGAAGCTGGGATCTGAGATACGGGTCCAGACATGCCACAGGTCCCCAGAGGGAAGGACCCTGATGGGCAGCAGCTCTAGGCCGGACCCTGGGAGCCATCTTGGAGAGGGTGACAGAGGGTCCTGAGCCAAATTCGTTGCACTCCACCATGCATCAGCCAGCAGCCCCTGCTGCTGCCAGAGAAGCAAAACCACAGAAAACCAGGATTGGCAGGACCCAGAAGCCAGGCCCCACATGTGGAAGGCAGCAATGGTCACCTGGTCCCTGTCAGTCATTTGTCTAACTGAGCAGCACCCCTGAGCTCAGCACACAAGTGGGGGCCCAGCTAGACTCCAGGACTGGAGTGCAGGCGGCCTAGGGTGTCAGCCTGGGCACCTGAATTTTGAATGTTCCTCAGTGGTCCCAGGCTGATCACCCCTGGCCACACAGACCAAGTGTGTGCCCTGCACAGCAGGGCATGTCATGTGTACCTGAGAAGTGATAGCTATGAGTGGCAATGGTTTTAGATTCAGGTGCACTCAAGCCGTGTGGTGTTGTATACCAGACACCATAATGAGGACGTTAAATCCAGATGGCTCAGGACAAGCCTGGGGCTTCCCTGGTGGCTCAGATGGTAAAGAATCTTCCCGCAGTGCAGGAGACCTAGGTGCAATCCCTGGGTCAGGAAGATCCCTGGAGAAGGAAATGACAATCCACTCCAGTATTCTTGCCTGGAGAATTCCATGGACAGAGGAGACTGGCAGGCTGCAGTCCACGGGGTTACAAACAGTCAGACACGACTTAGCAACTAACACTTCAGGACAAGCCTGGAGGCGCCACTACCATCCCCTATCACAGATGCAAATGCTGAGGCCCAGGGGTGCAGGTACCCACGTGAGGCCACCCAGCAGTCAATAGTCCAGCCAGGTTTGAACTTCATGACTCCGAGCCCAGGCTTCTCCCCTTAGGCTGCAGCATTCTCACAAATACTCTCTGCTCACAAGCCTGCTCAGTCGTTTCCTTCTGCACTAATTCCAGTCCAACAGGTAAATTACACTTTGCATAATCTCTATTTTCTTATGAACCTAACAATTTTAACTTCCATGATGTTGTTACTGTTCAGCTGCTAAGTCAAATCCAACTCTTTCAGACCCCACAAACTGCAGCATGCCAGGCTTCCCTGTCCTTCACTATCTCCCAGAGTTTGCTCAAATTCATGTCCTTTGAGTTGGTAATGCCATCCAAACATCCCATCTTCTGTGATCCCCTTTTCGTCCTGCCCTCAGTCTTTCCCAGCAACAGGATCTTTTCCAATGAGTTGGCTTTTCACATTAGATGGCCAAAGTATTAGAGATTGAGCTTCAGCATCAGTCCTTCCAATGAATATTCAGGGTTGATTTTATTCAGAATTAATTGGTTTGATCTCCTTGCTGTCCAAGGGATCTCAAGAGTCTTCTCCAGCACCACAATTCAAAAGCTTCAGTTTTTCAGTGCTCAATCTTCTTTATGGTCCAAGTCTCTCATCCTTACATGACTAGTGGAAAAACCATAGCTTTGTCTATATGAACCTTGTTGGCAAAGTGATATCTCTGCTTTTTAATACACTGTCTAGGTTGTCATAGCTTAAAGTATTCCATAAGTTTTGTTGCACATATAAATTTGTACATGTAGACATACAGACACATGTATGCATATTTCTGGTGTGGTCTGTCATAAAATGTGCGTCTCCAGGCAACAGAAAGATCAAGTCAGCACAAAGATGTCTTCATGCTCCTTTGCAGGCCCTGAGTCTGCTGCCTGCATGTCCACTTACAAGGCCTCCCAACTCGGAACTGAACCCACAAATGCCACGACACCAGCTGCCTTACACCTGAATCGACTCCACCAGAAGGGCGGTATTAGATGTCTTCTCCCTTCACATGTTTTCATTTTTTTTTTCTTTTTTGTAACAGTGTTCCTTGGCTCAAAACTGCCATAGGTGGGTGAGGAAGGAGCCGTGAGGAGCAGGCCTGAAGAAGGATGCAAAGATTGATGTCACCTGTGGGCAGGGGGCTCCGAGTCCTGACTCAGGCAGAGATGTGAGAAGTAGTCCTGTCATCTGAGGCCGCCACCCCTGGGGCAGGACTAGAGCACTGCCCCTCCATCCCTTCTGGATGGATTCATGCACACACAAGACAGGTACACCCTTTCCATGAGTAAGGGCCAAACTGCCAGCACTCCAGAAGACCCTGGCAGATGCTCCTGCTTCCTGGTGGGAGCCCAGTGCCGCCAGGCGGACATCATTGCTTGATCAGATGGATGTTTCTCCTTCCTGCTGGGAGGTGGTCTCCACACTTACCACACGGCTTTCAAAGGATGGCCATGTCCCAAGCTCTGGAACCTGTGTGTCATGTTCCCTGGAAAGGGACAATTTAGGTTTCTAGTCAGCTGACCTGAGACATAGAGAACTGGAGAGCCCTGATGCTACTGACCCTGAAGATGGAGCAAGGGGTCACGGGCTCAGAAACGCGGTGCCCCTAGAGGCTGTAAACGGCCCAGGAACAAATGCAGATTCTCAGGGGCTCCAGAGAGAACCAGCCCTCTGACCCCTTGTTTTCGCCCAGCGAGACCCATGTCGGAATTCTACCCTAGAGAATTGTGAGTAGATTTGTGATGATTTGTTACAGTGGCAACAGTTCTCTAATTCAGTCCCACTCCGGGACCAAGTTCAGAGTCCAAGGGAGGATTGTAAAGGAAGGTTTGTGAACCAAAGATGTGATGAGTGGGTTACAGCCGTCCCTTCCAGAGCTTCCTCTCTCATGCCAACTCCACAGAATGATTTGCTCTGAGGTCGGCCCTCAGAACAGCCCCTCGGCCCCCAGAGGGGTCGGAGTCACCAGAGGAGATCCCAAGGACCTGACCTGGCACCAGCAACCCCGCAGGGTCAAGAAAGCGGGGTTTGCAAACTTGCCACCTCAGTTCTGCTGCTCGTGGGACACTGGGAGAGGTCAGAGAGGACACTTCAGGCCTGCTTGACACCCTGCCGTGTGTTACCAGAGTCAGTGTCCCGGCAGTCATGACGAGACTGTCTCATGTCCCTTCACGGGCAGGAACTCATGGCCGCCTTCCTGCTCCAGCTTCACAGCTGCCCTCGTGGGGTCGTGAAGAGCTTCTGGAAACCTCAGTGAAGGGCCCATGAAACAGACTCCCTCCTTGCCATCTCTCCATGTGCACAACTGGACAGGAACTTCTGCCAGCCTGAGGTTGGCCATCCAGCCTAGACCCTCAGGCTGGGCATCACTCAGCCTCCCTTGACCAGAACTTTGCACACATAGACACACACACACACAGACACACACACACACTGATGGGTGTGTGCACACACTGAGATGCACAAGACACATACCCATGCACACACACATGTAAGCACACACATGTCCACCCCACCTGGCAGGCTCAGTGGCTGGGCCCCAGCACAGGGTTTGGACCACAAGCATGAGAACCCCACTTCCTCCCGTGTTTACACTCCCACCTGCCACTAATCCCACTTGCTGCAAACTCCAAGTTCATTTCCCTAGAAGGAAGGAAAGTCTCAAGCTCACGGCAGCTACTGTGGGGGAGGGAGCTGGGTGCCTTCACTTCCCCAGGCGGAGGGCTGAGGACACCACTGACCCCCCTGGGCAGAGTCCAGGGCCCCTGGACGTGTCTGCCCCCAGAGCACACACCAGACACTGTGGCAGGCCTCACCACCAGGCAGCCTTGTGGGCGGGGTGGGGGGTTGGGTGTCTGCTTGGTGGTCCCCAGGCAAATAGCGGGCCTCCTCGTGTTCCCCGAGTACAGCCCGCACCCACTCAAAGGCACCCAGCTGCACTCTGGCCTCTTCCGTCCTCACTGGAAACCTGAGCGCAGAAGAGTGCGAGCTGAGTTCCCTTGAAAGGAGCCTGGCACAGATGACCCGAGGCTGGAGCTGGCGTGGGGGGTGCCACCCCTCCCCAAGCCCCCTGACCATACAAAGCCACCCACTCTGAGGACCCAGAGGCAGACAACAGGCCCAGCAGCTCCTGCCTCTGAGGCCTGAGCCCCCGGCCACGGTCACAGAGCTGCTGCGGCCAGGGTCAAGCGGGCACTGGTCTCCAAGGTTGGTCTATGCTGACCACACAACTGGTGTCCTCGGCACTGGGGTCCTCAGGAAAGTGCCACTGGGTTTCTGCATGGGGCCCCGTCCTCTCAGGAGCTGAGGGTCCTTCCTGGCCCCACATGACAGCCATGGAGACTGCATGACTCCGGGGCACAGCCGTCCAGTGTGCGCTGTTGCAGAAGCGGGGGGACTCTGATGCTTGGACACACCTCGCAGGTAAGGAAGGCAGGACACACGGACGGGAGAGGAGCCCCTGCCCCCGACTGCAGCTCAGACCCCTCTGCACCTCAGGGCAGCACCCTCATTGCCAGGGAGATGGCACCATCATGAGCAGGAACCCAGTGTATCCAGGGGTGGGCCAGCCAGAGCGCGGCCCACTTGCTGTCACTGGCACTGCTGCTGTGCATGCCTGCCGGGACCCGCCTGGCCGCTCTGCAGGGAGAGAACTGGGGTGAAGGGCTGGCCTCCCCCCTCCCGGGTTCCCACCCTCCTTTGGGAAACCTGGACCCATCACACTCTGTTCCGTCTGCCATCTCACCAGGAGACTCCAAGGCCGGGTACCTGTCAGCTCCGTGCTGCAGGAGGGAGGTTGGTCTGCTCCGGCCCCCTGCAGCCACTTTTCTGCTGTTGACTGGGTCCTGGGTGTGGGACTGTCACCTAAACCCTCCCCGGGGACTGCCACCAGAAACTCCAGCATCCAGCGAAGTTTCCGCACACTTCTCAGCCTCTTAACCCAGGAGAGGAGACTCGGAACGTCCAAGCACAGCAGTCCTCGGGCTCTAAGACAGTTTGCAGGGAGGCAGTTGTCACGGTCAGGGACTTGCCGTAGGACTCTGGGCAGCAGCCAGTCAGGGTGGTCGTGGGGGGTCTCTGACCGTGCCCTGCACCCATGGTGGCTGTGGGCACTGTAGCCTCGGAGCTCGGAGTTAATCATACATGGAGCAGCCTGTGCCGTCTGGACTCTGTCTTCAGGTGGGGCATAGTGCACCCACCCCTCTGCCATGTGGCTCACGCTCGGGGGAGACCAGGTGACCCCTGGAGGGCGTCCGGGCCCTCACTTGGGCCTTTGCTGCCTTTGTGGGGACAGCAGAGTTGACACCCTTCGGGACGGACCACGCTGCCCGGCCCCAAGCCTGCACCTCAGTCTGCGAGGAGCATCGGCAGGGTTGCCTCCACGTGGTCTCCTCTGGGCCGTCGTAACAGTAAGGAGGTGGTCTAGGCCTGGGACGGCCCTGCCAGCCTCCTCTAGGGGAGGGCAGTCCCGCCCTGCCCATTCGGTGCGCTGCTTTCTTTCCCCTCACTTCAGAGACCCAGGAAACACCAGCTGGCAGGAGTTTAGTGAGGAGACAAGTATGTAAAACACCAGCTGATGTGAATTTAGTGAGGAAATGAGTTCGTAAAGCCTCAGTCCCTCTGAGGACCCTGGATGAGGTCCCTCTGGATGGACCACATGCTCCAAGGGATAAAGGTCCGGCCATGCGCAGGTCCTGTTGGGTCAGGATCAGGGTGTCCAGCCTCCTCGGGGCAGAGTCACCTCCTGGTGCCCCGACAGCCACTTCCCCCACAGTCCTGACATGACTCTTCCTTACTGGTTTTGCCTTAAGCATTCACTGCCAGATTTCCCAATTCTTCTCTAAAAACTAACAAAGTGCTTTATTACTTTCTGATAATTTCCCCAAGGCAAAAAAATTTGAAAGTAGTAACATGATTGTAAATGAGCAATTACATTATGCCAGAGGCTGTGGGCTACCTGACAAGTACTTTCACAAATCAGTGTCACAGGACAGCAGGGGGATGATTGAAACGACCTCACTTCTCTCCTCTTTCTCAGCCGCACCTGTGTCCCGGGAGCAGGCCCGGGAGGGAGGTCTCAAGCTCCCCCCACATCTCGGGACAGGGTGGTGCTGTGCTGCCCTTCAGTTCCCCCGCGTCCCCCTCCCAGGGGTGGTCTCACGCAACATCACGTCCCCCGAGCCCAGTTTCCAAGGCACTGTCCATCGGAACACACCAGCTGACTCGTGGAATCAGACGGTCCTTTCTTCTCTCCAAGGATGTGGTGCTCCTAATCTTTCTCTGACCAGTTCTGCCTCCTCATGAAATATTCATCGCCTGAGAGCATCCACCCCGGGAAAGCGGCCCAGCCTCGAGAAAGTCAGGGGCGGGGGGAGCTATGCTTGTTCACTTGCTGGTGCCCCAGCAAGTGGGGGCCGGGCCCTTCTTGGGCTGTGCCCTCCCCCAGTCCTTCAGCTGCCTCTGCACAGGCAGCGGATGAGTCATGGAGACCATGGACGCTTTAAGGAGGTCTTTTCGATGTTGCTGGATGGATTGCAGCTGTAATGCAATCTCCATCCGCACCCCCACTGCTTCCTGGGAACCGGCGAGAGATGGCAGCTGCAGGGCCAGGTCTGGAGGGGGCAGAGGGCCAGAGGGCAGCCAGGAGGCTTGGGTGCGGGTCGGCTGCAGGCCCTCGAGCCACCACAGCCGGAAGTAGACGCACACACCAGCCTCTCTGTGGCTCCTCGCCTGCCCCTGGCCCCTGGTGGGCCAGGAAGTCAGCCGTAAGTGCTTCAGAAACGAACGTGTGAGCGAGAGAGAGAAGAACCAGCATTAAAACTAGCTTCTTCTGAAGTTCAGAGACCTTGGTTCGAGGAATCTCCACCCACCCCTGGGTTCCGCCTCCCTCTTCCTGGCAGTTCTCAGTTTCTGTTTCCACTGGAAGAGAAAACACTGCCCCACACCAACCGTGGGAAGGTCCAGCTCCTCAGTTCCCATGTGATTTGCACCCAGAGGGGTTCCAGTGCAACTGAGGCCTGAGGCCTCCTGGCCCCGAGGGTCCTGGGCCGCCGCCTCTGCCCCCAGCACTGGCCTCCTCCCAATCTCAACTCTGAACCCTTATGTGGATGGCATCCAGTGGCTGCAAGGGACCACTGCTGCCCAGTCTCTTGCGTGGGGGGCAGCACTCCTGGAATGGCATCTCCGCAAATGTCTCTGAAGCCTGAGCTTCAATGAGCCTCTGAAATACAGCGGTTAAGTCCTGAAGAGCCTTGTGAGCAGAAGGACATCCTTGGTTCACACGGCTGTTGGTTCAGAGGCCAAGCAGAGCCAGCACTGCCCATGTGTCTCCCCGGGTGGTGTTACACAATCACAGTCTGGGGCTGACACAAAAAAAGCCTGCAGCTTACACTTCTGGAGGCTGGGTACCGCCGGTCCAGGGCCTGCCCCAAGGCCCCAGGGACGACCTCCCTGCCTCCAGAGGACTGTCTTCTCCCTGGGCCCGCCACCCCTCTTCCTCTGTGTCCAAATCCCCTTCTCAGCTAGGACGGTAGGCCCTGGGCGAGGGTCCACAAGCCTCCAGTGGGGACACCACTTCCATATAAGGTACCACTCTGAAGGGCTGCGGTCAAGACGTCAGCATGTGGATGGCAGGTACACAATTCAGCCCATAACAGACTCCAGGTTTGTTCACCAACTGTGGGTGATGCGCTTTCTGCCTGCAGGGCATGGGGCTGGAAATCTCACAGGTCCCGTGCCTGCTCAGCAGATGGGGGTGAGCTGCTGCCACGTTTCTTGTGGCTCAGGAGTGGGGCCAGCCCTCTACTGAGCCTGGTGCCCCGCCACCCTGAGGCCCCCCAAAAGCGGCAGCTGGAGGGGAGCCGGGGCATCCACAGCCCTCGCCCCCGCCCAGCAGGAGCACGTGAACAGGGCTGGGCCGCAGCGCGGGGTCCTCCAACTGCTCTGAACGGCCCCAGGGTTCGCTTTCCTCCACTGGAGCCCTGCGCTGCCCCCGAGCGCGTCTCAGAAACAGGGCAGGGGCCAGGGACGTGGGGAAGAGCTTGCGGGCCCTCTCAGGAGGCCTAGCAGCCAGTCCGGGCCGAGGCCGCCACCCCCAGGGCTGGGGACACAGCTTGTGAACAAGCCATGACGCTTCCGCCGGAGATAGTAAAGTGGGAGGGGGCCTCTCTGACCTGAGGCTTTTGAGGGGGTCTGAATGTGTTCAGGGAACAGCCCTGCCAAGGCCCGGTGGTGAGAACAGGGAGCCAGAGGAGGCAGAGGACCAAGGGTCGGGTTGAGGGGCCACAGAGCGTTTCATGGTGGAAGAGGCCCAGCAGCGGCTCTGTGATCGCTGGGGGCCAGGGGTCGGGGAGGGCGCAGAGGCAGAGACAGCAGGAGGCCTCTCAGGGACCCAGGGAGCATGGGGTCAGGTAACCCTGCCCAGCCAGTCCTGGCTGGGGCTGGAGGATGCTTAGAAGAGGGCCCTGGTCTTTGCTGACAGCTGGATGTCTGCAGTAGACGAGAAGCACCAAGAAGCACCCAGCCCTCAGCTCAGGCAACACCGACCAGGGCCTCGAGGAAGACTGCAGGACAGAGGGGAAGCAGGCTGGGGACGTGGATGCTGAGACTTGACCTGGACCGGCTTAGTGCTGTGCAGATACTTGGTGGGCTGAGAGGGGAGGCCTGGGCTGGGGAGACAAATTTGGTAAATTTGGTCGTTGTCAGCCTGGACGGCCACTGGACTGAAAGAGATGCCCCTGGGATGAGCCTGGTAGGGAAAGGAAGACGCAGCAGACAGAGGCAGGGAGGTCGCCTGGGACAGACGAGACCCCAGGTGGGGGCTGTGAGTGTGCGGTGGGCTCCAGGCCCAGCCCATGCGGTGCCCCCGATGGTCCCGGAGCACGAGGGGGGCTGATGGCCCTATCGGGTGTCCGTGCTGAAGAAAGCTGGCACGGCCCTTCCCTCTGAGGAAGGCTCTCTCTTCCTCCTCTTTACATTCAAGTATAAATATCCAATGTGTTTGCACTTAGAATGTGGCAGCTGGCCCACCAGCCTTGCTAACTAACTCACCCACTCTCCCCAAGCCCAGCTTGTGCGGCCGGGTGGCCCAGCTGTGCGCACACACACCCTCGCCCAAAGTGGCTTTGCCCCTGGAGCCCAAGTGACAGTGACTGGCCTCTGCCTCCAGAGCCCGGGTTCCTCCAGACCTGCACATCCTCTGACGGGGGCAGGAATGCACGTGGAACAGCAGATGCTCTCTAGCCATCACGCCAGCACCCGCTGGTCCAGATGGGGCCGAGCACACAAATCTCGGGCTCCTCAGGACCAGGGGCTGGAAAACTGCCGTCCACAAGGTCAGGACAGACGCTTCCCAGGAATGCAGGAGGCTGCCAGCTGTCCCATCAGTGCAGATGCCACCCAAACCCCATCTGTGAGCCTCTGGCTGCCACTCGCAAGACGCTGTGTGGCCTCTCAGGCTGGGGGAGCACCCCCATCTCAGCATCCCGGCCTCCGGGACAGGACCCCCACACTTCCCTCCATGAGTCACTCCAGCCTCCTGTCCACACAGCAAGAGCACTCTCAGCAACAACGGGGAGACAAGCAATAACAGTGACTGGGAAAGAGAGAAATCTTCTGTCATGAAATTTCATGTAGGAAAACCTTAAAAATTAAAAACTGGTAAACAGTAAAACAGGTATTATATTCCTAAGAAAGGAAATGAGTCATAGATTAACACTTCTTGACTTTACGAACGTCCCTTCACCAAAGAGGGCTAGTGGCTCACAGGGATTTGCTGTTTTAGCTCCCAGGGGCCACACTCGAGTGGTGGTGGAGTGACCGGGTGCCCCTGCTCCATGACTTCAGTCGCCGTTAGTCCTAACAAAGGATTGTGAATTTAGAACTACCGGTTCGTGGTGATAATAAAACAAGCCACGATCTCTGTGGTTGAATTGCTTTTAAATTCTCTGCTGACAGCCCCCACCTTGCACCGAGGCCACGGAGCTTCGCTGGACAGAATGGCCAGTCCTGGGCAGACCTGCCAGACGCCAGTGCCACTGGTCAGGGAGGAGCCCTTCTCACAGAGGCCAGGGCTCTGGACAGGCTGCCGACCACACCACAGCACGTCTGCCTTCGAGCGGGATCCAGTCCTGCTGGGACCGAGGCACTGTCCACAGCCAGGTCCATCTGGCCAAGTTCAAGGCGTCTCCAGGTGGGTCCAGTGCCCCACGACCAGTCAGTTCCGTGAGAGAGGCAGCTTCAGGTGGCCACAGGCCACGGGAACCAGGCCTCGCTGTCCGGAGGCTGTGGGCCTGACTGCACAGGAACCAGCTTGTCAAGAGTTCGGATCTTCTGGCCACAAGACGGGGGCTGCTGAGGGCTCTCCAGGCCGCCAGTGTTCCACCACCTGGAGCGGGCCTGCCCTGCAGACCAGGAGGGGCGAGAGCGCAGGCGATGGTCTGTGGTGGTGGTGTTGCAGGAAAGCCGAGGGTCCCCACAGGGCCTCCCGAGGGGAGCCACAATTGCAAGCATGAGGCTTTAATAAGATGGATTTTCTTCCTCTCAGTGAGGCAGCGGACGCAGCCTGGGGCCCCTGGGAGGAGGAGGTGGTGCTGGGCCTTGCCCCGGCTGTAAACAGCTATTATGCTGATCAAAGGAACTGTGTGCGCCTAATTACAGAGCTTAGAAACGAAGGAAGTGCAAGGCTTTTGCCCACGATAGGGATAAACTTGGAGTTAAGGTAATCCATCGTGACAACATGGCTGGGGGCGGGGGGGCGTGGAGTTTCATGGTCTTCTCCTCAGTCCTCCTGTCCACCCTTGTCAGCAAGGCAGGACCAACAGTGGACTTTCCACATTTGGATGACCAAGTGTTTGCTGCGTGAAACATGCACTTCATGTGAGAAGTGAGGTTTTTCAAGATTCAAGGGAAAGGCCGTCTTGCTTCATTGCCAGAGATGCTGCCATTGGACCAAAGGTGAAACAGCTGGAGCCCACGTCCAGGTGACGAGGGAGCAGCTGGGATGCAGACTCCCTGTATCCACAGCCTGTCCAGGCGGGACCTCCCCCTGGGTGCCTTCCGAGCCCACCTCCTAAGGGGCAGTGGAGCTGAGGGGGAGCAGAGATCACACTGGATTTGACGAGGCAAAAAGCATGTCACCTAGACCCTCACCTGCAGAGTCAGAGTGGAGGGGCCAGCAGCTCCTCTGGAGCCACCATCTTGTTTATGATTCATCCACTCCCAAGAGGTGCCTCTGGTCAGGGACCGGGCTGGGGGGCAGTGCGGGCCCCCCGCGCCCCATGCCGTCCCTTCTACTGCCACCTTGTCACAGGGACTCTCAGTCAGCCTGGCCACATTCTCTTGGCCAGTGCTACCGGCCGTCTGCCTCCCAGAGGCCCTGCCCTGGCCACGTGCACCTGCAGATTGCAGGAGCTGCAGACAGAGCTAGAGTTGGCTGTGCCTGTCTTCGTGGAGGACCCAGCCCCAGGCGAGCACGGGGACAGCGGCACGGGGCCCAGAGGTAGAGTCCTTTGGCACGGAATCAGTGTATCAGCCAAGGTTCTCCAAAGAAACCCTCAGGACATGGGTGTGTATATAAGAGAGAGATGTGAAGAACTGACTCAGCAGTCATGGAGGCTGATGC